CCGTAAGTTCATCAGCAACAATATTTTCCATATCCCAAAGATTACGTGAGCAAGGTCGATCAACCGATTAATGTTCATATTAGTTTCATCTCCAGATTTTTAACGTTTTATGACATATACTGTTTTTCAACAGTAGGAGTAAGTACCTGTCTCTAGAGAGAGAGAGTGAAAGAGTTATCAGCTTTCAAAGTATTAATTCCCGTCCACTCCATAACTGTTTGAGACCTTAAAAAGATTTATGCGTTTATTAATTTTTAGATGAGTGAAAGATATATTTTATTGAGTTATTAGCCACACATGACGTTTGGACTAGTGCTATCTACAAATGTATTATTTTTGACAAAACCTTAACAGGGCTACAGGTGTGACCGTTTATTTACACAACACATTTGTAATTACAACATTACTAGAAGAGTTGTGAAACCGAACTGCTATCGTGCTAAACCGCATAGGGGAACATGGTTTATTGTCAAGATCAGGGTGAACGTACTGTTGCTGTCTTGGTACACGTCAACTAACACCCATCTACTTTACATGAAACTCCTCCACCTGCATACGGGGAGAAAGGTCGGTAAACGTCTCCGTATTGCTACGGACATGATGACATTTAAAACAAAAATCGATCACGTGGAACAGTTCAATTATGCATCATAACACGAAAAATAAGAACAACAGGAAATTACCAGTGACAATTTCTGTACTGCGTACGTGAATGCGTGAGTGCACGTAGAATGAAGAAGTGGTAACCAGCTGATCGTGAACCAATGAAACGCATTTCTTAAATATCAATTTAGCACTCGAAAATAGCAGCAGGCGATCCTCCGGTGAACAACCAGTACACGAGCATCACCAAATCTGTCGTCGATTTAATATCCGATTGTATCCATGAAAGTAAGATCAGGTGACCACGATCAAATTCATCAGTTATCACTGGCTTAAACAACTTCTGGATTTCGTTTGTGCAATGTGATCTAATGACAGCAGTGTAAGCAGATTCTAGTAATAGGTCTGTCCTCGGATGAAAATTATCTCAGTCCACCTTTTGTCTTCGAAAACTAAAGACTTCAGTTGAGTACAACAGTTTGAAAGCATAAGAGTACGCACCTACTTGTAGACATCTGAGCTCGCATCTTCAAATCAGTTATAGTGCCTTCATGGCTAGTCCGTTGTCTAACTGATTCTGCCGCTTTATCTAAGGACCAAGTTTGGATCACAACTGGCTTGAGATTCTCCTTATCCTCTGAAGCTAATTGCCCCATCCACGGATCACAAATCACGTACAAACTTTCCCAACGATGATTACGCATCGTCCGGTATGACTTTATCACGTTCTTATTCAGTTGTAGAACCACGTAGAACTATTCGAAAACTCGAACTTGATGTATCACTTTAGATTTGTATTCTTCACTATCTACTAAGTATTCTAAAACCTTATGGTTTACGTTTGCAGCCGAACGTACTCTTGAATCCAGTGTCACTTAACGAGCAACTTCCTATATGTATTTAGTGAGTGGAGTAGTCTAAAACACATAAGAATATGTTTCTTCTACGTATCGGAATTCAATTCAACGCTGTTTCTAATTCCGCTCAACTCATGCACTGTCTGCTTGGCGTGATACGTCCAAATCACTTTCAACTAATTGGCTCACTTCATATCTAAATAATCGACATTTTAAGGTCAGGGTTAGCCTCACTTTCTCTCAGGCTATGAAATGTCCTAGTGGGGTCTCACAGGATTCAGTAATAAGACCTTTATTCCTAATTTGTACAAACGACCTTCCTCAGCGGCTATCGCCTGGTTTGTTACTTTTCGATGATGATGTAGTGTGGCGTCGAGTCGCGGTTGACTACGATCACCACTACAGGAAGACTACGTGCCAATTAACCGATAAGACCCCCCGAAAGCCGAATATCAGGAGGCAGTTGATGGCTGTAGTCGAGATGTATTCGTTGGCGATCTCATGGTATCGAAAGAATACCGAGATCGTTCCAAGTGTGGTTACTGAGCGTAACCGAATCCGCGCAAGGTCACGATCAAAGGAAGTATGTATTCCGGTACAGTCAAACAAACAAGTACGGCAAAACAATCCCTGGCACAACTGGTTATAATAATAATTGTTTCCATTACACTAATCGCGTTCTCTTGATAAAAGTAGGTCACTGCAACGGGAAACTTTGGGGAGAAGTATTCAACCAAGAGGATAAACTGGCACTTCAGGAGGATCTGACTCGACTTCAAAGTTGAGCAGATGACAACGGACTTACGTTGAATACCTCAAAGTGTAAAGTAGTCCGTTTGAGGCAAGTTACAGACTACGAATACAACCTAGGTAACTCTCCTCTAGAGGTATCCCAAGTTGAAAAAGATCTAGGAGCGTTGGTACTCTACGATCTGAGGTATTACGCTAACTGCGACAAAAATGCCTCCCGAGCAAACCGTGCACTGGTAACGTTAGGACGTATTTTCGGTCAGTTCGATGGAAGAACTTTCCACATAATCTTCGATGGTTTTATGCATCCCCAGTCATGGTACGGAAACATAGTATTCTTGTTCCTCGTTCCGAAAAGTAAGGATATATTGGAATATATCCAACGGCGAGTCACAAAATCAGTTTGAAGACTCAGATTTGAGCCTTATGTATGGGCGACTCAAATTAATGAACTTTTACTCACTAGAGTATAGGTGTCTTAGATGTGACCTTCTGATGACTTGTAGCATCTTAAACACTTCTGAGTATCCGCTTAAACACCCACTTAAGCTTAGTTCCAGCACAAACCTTAGGGGTAAAACCCAAAAACTGGAGACACATCACAGCAGAACGAACTGTGAACACATCTTCTGCTTCTTAAGAGTAGTCAAATACTGGGATTGGTTGCCGGCTGTGCAAAATGTACATTTGCTTTGAAGTAGTTCAGTAGTTTTAGGCTATACTCAACCTTATCAAAGCCTCTTGTTGACTATATCATTAATTTATGTTTTATCGTTTTAGCTTCCCACTGGGCTCTCCAGATTGTGATTCAAAGTACCTTAAAACTGTTATACTATAATTTATTGTTGACCTTTGAGAGACGCTAGACTGACCTTGACAGTGTCCACCTAATAACCAGGACCGAAGAGGGTTATAAGCCTGTGTGAAGAATTAAAATTGTGATTTACAGTTGATGATTAAGGTTAGGAATTAGGTTTAGGATTTTAATCACGAACTGACATCAGCTATAATGCCAAAACTCTATTTATCCAAATAGATGAGTGATTTTTGCACCAAAATCCGAGATGTTATCATATACGTGATTAGTTCATCCACAAATTATATTCTCGCCATAATTTTCAGTTTGCTACAGCATTATTGTATGGATGAGTAAGTTGTCTGGAAACTTCCTAGGTCACCGCTTATTTTTCGTTTCCTGACTAGCATGATTATGCAAAATCATGTCTCGAGACATGATTATCTGGTCACAATTTCTAACCCAGAGTGCTTATTGTCAATATTTATTGACGTTGTTATTCACGGACGTAGATCTGACTCTGACCAGTGCTTATAAAACTATATTTATTTAGCAGAGTTTTCATCACAAAACTTGAAAATCTCGTCAGAACAGATAAATAACATTGTCAACTTTTGGATATGGATATCATTTTTGATTGCTATAATTTTAATTGGTTTTTCATGAAGTGTTAATTGTTGTAAATGGCTAGTAGTGTCGTAGTAAACATTACGTAGACTCTCGTAAACAGTTACTGTGCGATTGCGTATGGGACTTAGTCCCATACGCAATACAAACTTAGTATACTCAGATTTCTTGTGTCCATGTATACTCTCCAAATCAGTAAAAGAACAGTAGTGAGATGAATTAAGGTCAATATTCTTACTCATGAATACCAGTTCATGTAAAACTACATAGACTTGATACGTTAAAAGGTTTCATGATACTTTGCTTTGAGTTTAAATAAAATAACTTATATTAACTTTAAGATATGATTACCCTGATAAATCAACTTATATACGGCTTCATTTTCAATTTATTTAATTATTTTGGTGTTGCCATCCATAAAACCTTGCGCGAATGAAGTCCAAGAAGTCGGCTAAACTACGGCTAGCGGTGGAATCCAGGATGCATGTTCCGTCCTTGTCTTAAGACTCGTTAGCTGGATGAACCTGTACATCATTGGTGTCTCCATTGGCACCAGAATATAGTTATTTTCGCCCTAAACACTGAGCTGTTAAGTCTAGGGCAAGAATAGTTGTTTCTTTGCATCGATGCCACCTTCGACTTGCTGGAGAAGGCTGTTCCGAACACTTTGTTAACATCTTAAAAGCGTTGTACACCAACACTGCATTCAGTGATAGCGCGCAACCACCTCTCCGCTTTCCCATTGCAGCCGTGAGTCTAGGCAGGAGTACTCAGTCTCATCATTTGTCTCCAACTGTTTCAGGAGAAGATTGCGATTAGGTAGTTGCCCAAACTCACCATTTCTCTCCAAGTTTATTGTCAATAACACTCATAAAACAGCTCTGACGGAAGTAGGCAGTAGTGATTTGCATCTGTTACCGAGAGAGAGTCATCAACATTGGGTGCATATTGTCTTACTATGCGATGAAAATCATGCTACCCAATCTTCAATTAATCAGTAGTCATTGCCTGTAGATATTCTATGTACTATGCATATTCAAAATGCAAGGTACTTCCGCCAGTTTGACAGGAGCCTGTGTTCGCACTCGTTCTTGATTCTGAGTCGTTGGAATCAGTAGAAATGTTCATGTATCTGGTTGGTAACGTTAATGAATAGACTAATATACGTATGATAAAAGTCAGGGCGAGATATATCAATCTGAACTGTGGTGTTAGTCTAGCTGTGAAAGGTCGTGTACAATACATTCGTTAGAGGATTCCTACTCTGTGTCAGTGAAGCATGACCTTTGGGTTGAGAATCTCTGGTGACTGTTTATGTCTGATCATTGTTGTCTCTGTAGGATTGTTGACGTTCAGCGACAACACCGTGTTAATCAATGGTGAGGCTCAGTAATGTGTGTCCGGACACATTTACGATAATTGAAATCATTTTACCATCTTGAAAGACTTGTTTTGGCGACTTGGACGTGTATTATGAATATCGTTCTGGAGAATTGCACATTATCCATTAATTGCCGACACAAGGACTGGGTGGGAAAGGCAGATAAGTGGTCAGTTTATAATATAGTGCCGGAGTAGGAAATGAAGTTGCGTAGGATTGTCGTTGAGGTCCTGATGACGATGCAACTCAGTGGCTTGAGATGTTATTAGAGAAGGCTCACAACAGAAGTTACTGAAGATCCTACAGTAGTTTTGTGAATTTATGTAAAAAGAGGAAATTTAACTGTAATAAATATCTGTGTTGCTTTGTTGACTGAAGTGTCTATCCTTTTGTGTTCACGTAATTTTTCTGGTTACACAACTGGTCTTTTCATTCCTCCACGGTATTAACTCCTCGCTTCGTACTATTTTAATGCCTCGTTGTACGAAATTTTATGTGAAATGAGTAAAGAATATAAATGAAACATTTCCCTCGACCTTCAAATAATCAAATTAAGTGAAAAGCTAAAGTGGTGGATATGGTCATGAATTGAGGGGGGAGTTAAAGATGTTTTGTCGAATGGTCCTAGATCTGTAGTAGTCACGTTGAATGATTAGTCTTTATCTTTTGCAATGTTTCATTTCTGTTTCATACATTCCTTGTTAAAGGTCAAACGAACTCACGAAGTAAAAACTGGTCTCATTTTTTATGTGTAAGGTGTATTAGTATTACCTGACTAGCCATACTGAATTTGAGATTATCTGTTTCCAGCCTGTAGCCCAGTAGTTATTTCTTTCTTTTGAAAGTATTATTCTCACTCAGTTTTACATTGGTGTGCAAATATTTACTGTTACTAAACAATTTCACATTATTCTGCTTAGCTTTTCTATTAATCACTTTACACTATGTGTATTGAGTTTGTACTCAATTTTCCTTGTATATTTTTCTACTTAGCCCAACTATGTAATTTACTGTACATTAAGGGATTAAATTGGATTTAAATAGTATGCCTATTAAACGATCATCTGGACGTTTAGGACCTATTGGTGGTGGTGTTAATAACAATACACGAAGGTAAGAGTACCAATAGAAATTCCTGTTATCCCTTTTCTGATGTATTTTATTATAGAGCATGTGAGCAGATGGTGTCGTCAGTACCATTAGTGAAGCACTCTACATTTCCTGTTGTGCCAAAATTATCCCGTATATCATTTCTTTCTCTCAGTCTAATGCTGTGCTTAACATCTACATTAACTCAGCATATGTATCTGTATAGAACTGTGTGGTGGTTACCGAATTCGTCAATCGAATACCCTGTAGTAAGTTAAAAATGCATAAACAAACCTAGAGTTGTGAAAGTTCTCATTCAGGTATTCAGTAAAACGACGAATATAGTAATGGAATATTTATTTTCTATTGGTTTGTCATCATGGCTCTACACTAATATGTATTTAACAATAAAATATATCGGTCAGTTGGTGCTGTTAGATAATATTACAAATTCAAATGTTTACGAAAATAGTTGTAAATGGCTAGAAAAAAAACAATTAGAGGATGGAGTTAATAGGTGACAAATATTCGAGGGTATTAATGGGTCAATGAATGGAATAGGATATAGGGTTTAAGGATTAATAACAGTAAAATTGATTGAGTCTATGATAAGAAGTCCAACAGAAGTAACAAATACGTAGTAAAGAATTTGAATATTCAGTCCTAGGGTTGATAATAATAGGCTTGCTCTTCTTTTATTTGGCCTCTGTCGATAGCTATACAAACTTCTTTTGAGTACAGAGGTTGGTTTTCTGGATGTGGATTGTGATAGCTTCAGGAATATACAAAAGACGAACCTGTAAGCCATGTGGTAAATTTAATGGAACAAAATGGATAACTTGAAAGGCTTTATTCGCGTCAATGTTACGTCCTGTGTCAACTGAGTGAGCGAATTTGTAACCTTTAGTCACCTCTAACTGTTTGCTTAACCACATCAGATGATGTGATACTTTGACGGACTTTGCATATTATATACCGTCATCATGAATTAACATCATCTGAATAAAGCGTATTTTCTTAGTTCATAGCTATATACACCCTCATTTCTGTACGAAACCAGATATTATATTTTCAGTTCCAGCGTCGAGTACTTCATCATGCATTCATTTCATAAGAGCTCAATATTTTACATTCTCCAATCAATTGATGATATAGAATGGTCATCGCTAAGGTCTGTAAAACCAAAACTAAACACAATAATTTTTTATTTTTAATATTCCCAAATCAGAAGTCAATTCAAAATTAAATTTTTCACGTAGTTCAACCTGAAGGTTAACAATATTCTTTTACAATTTTTAGGAATTTGGCTCAGTCGACTATTATGTTATGGCCCATATCATCTTTATGCTGTGTACTCCGTATGTCTATTTAATAGTGCTTAAGGTATGTTCTTTTCCGCTTCACTGAAGTAATGGTTATCTAGAATTAAATTCAATTTTATAGATGACTGAATGTTTTAATAATTGAACTCATGAGCTAATTGAAGAAAGACTATCATGGAAAACCTGGAAGCACTGGATGGCTGTTTCATCCTAGTATGAAACTCTTCAGCAGTGGTCTAGCTTCAATGGACTCATGAATTCAATTATTAAATTACTACAATGTCCACAAAACCCCTCTCCGACTGACTTTCTGTTTATCATCTGATTTAAATGATGTGTTCGAACCACCTGTTTTTCAAATCTACAAATCTTTCAACTAACCATCATGTTTTAGAATTATTTGGACTGAATAATCACGAATGCTAAATGCATGTACTCGTCTGCCATTATAAGAAACGTAAAAATTTTTGTATACTGAATCTTGAAAAACTCAAACGGAAACATAGCAGTTGGTGACATATGTTCTTCCTTATCTATTGTTTGAAAGGAATGAGAAACGAATTTATTGGAATTTATGTACTACCACTCCCTAATTAAACTAGTTTTTGGAAAGTGCTGTTTATGTCGTTGCTGTCTAACTCTGATTCCCAACTCTATGTGTTCTTGAGTTTGTCTCTTTTTCTTCTTCCTTGAGGATTCCAAAATACGACTTGTCCTGTGATGCAGTTCGACAGTTTACTCAATATGTATTCTATCCACCTCCAGCATCTTGTCCTGATTTGTTCGCTGCCACAGTAGATTATTGCTGAGGATCTCCGGACAATGGATCTGTAGTATCTTTTCTATACAGTTCTTTATAAATACATGTACTATTTTGGTGATGGTTGTGGTACTTCTCCAAGTCTCAGCATCCTACAATCGAATGGTTTTAACGCTAGTATTGAAAATCCTGATTTTGAATCAGCGATTATTCCTTTGACTTCCAAATGTCACAGAATTGTAAGGATGCTACCATAACTTTGCCAATCCGTACTTTGACATCAGTTTCAGATACACCATATTTATGTAAAAAAGGCTCTCACCTTTTCGAGAGTCTCCCCACCAAGTGTGATTTGTTTAATGCTCGATGTACTGTACTTCAAGATTTTGCTTCTTCTGTTGTAAATATCCATGACTATTTTGAAGGAAGCCGCAGCTACATAGGTTCGCTTCACCGACAAATATTTGTGTGTACGCATGTATTGGGGCTAAGAAGACCTCGAATTCCAAATCATCTAACTGTGTTCAAGTTGCCTACCTACCTATCACCCTCCTCGTAGATCTCGGTGATTGGTTCACCTTGTTTGCTCCTGACTGTCCGATCGGTTCTACTATATTTCCGTGCCAGCTTATTTGTTGAATCATGAGATTATTTCATTTTCATTCTCTTGCAGCTTTTTCTCCTGAAGTTGCCAGATCTTCTACTTATTTCCACTTGTCGGCTCTAATGGTCTTCTTCACTCTTTTGTCTGCTTTTTCTGTGTATATTCAACGTATGTTTTGGCTTTCTCTGTTCTGGTTCGGCTGTTGTTGACTTCCGTCGTCTTGTTTTCCATTTCTTGATTTTTGCCTGAGCTGTCAACGAAGATCCGTTGTTCATGATGGTGTTTTTTGGAACCCAAAACCCTTTGACATGCTGAAGTTATTACTTCTTTAATCTCTTTCTAGTTGCTCTCTCTCACTAACCAACCACCCAGTCAGTATCCTCTGTTTCTGTGAGTGAATTTAGTCCTTAACCGTTTATTGAAGAACAACTACTTTCAATTACTGTTCAGTGCATCTGTTAACATACCTAAGGATATACAAATGTTGTAGAAAACATTGTTTTATAGTAATACCTGTATAAATATACCTGAATACGCACGCTAGTAAAGATGTGTCTGACTATAACATTAGTCGTATCTTGAGGTTGTATTTTAACCACCATTGATTTTATGCAGTTAATAAACAGAGCTTGGTGATGAACACTAAAAAGTATAATTTTACGATAGTTGCCTCCTATCTCTGTGTACAAATCCGAATCATTAGACTTGGCGATCGTGTTAAAACATTCATTGATGGAGTTTTATCAGCACTATAACTTAGATAGACCAACACATTAGTTGCTGCCCAATGTGTTGTTGCGTGAAGTTGGTACTAACTTTCTCTGGCCACTAGCGAGGCCTCAAACTAAGGGATTAAAGTGGACGGGTTCATAGTGAGTGCTAACAACTCGTTGTTTTTATCCTTAATCCCGTTTCGACATACATATATGAACACAATAAAATATTTTTGCTTTTTTTAAAAAGCTTCTTCCTTCATTTGTAATGACATCACTGATAATGCGCTCAGTCCTGGGTTTGCTCATTTTTACTTCCTGGGGCTACATCATGATCTGGATTTTAAATCGGATAGAATATTCCGGGACCACAATCTTGTATCACCTATCCGGAATATTGTTGCTGGCGTATTTGTAAGTTTTGATCCTATTTAAGTCTCATGTTTATTACTGATATTTTTTCTGTTAAGGTTTTACACACTGAATATGTGGTTGCATAGACTTGGTATTTTTCAGTTTGACAGATGCTCCTCACTATTGCTCACTAAATGTGCGTAGCAGGTCTTATTTCTTCAGGACGATATGGACATTTAGCAAGACAGGAAGTAATTTCTTATATCGTGTTTAAGAAATATCGATACATAAATTTGGATAATTAGAACTGTATCAATAAGTCATCAAATTAAAGACTGGTACAGATGTGTTTTGGCCCAAGTTATCGAAACACATTAGCATGGAGAGATGAAAACAACAAGACGAATTGTGAAAGGAATCAAAATAATGTAATACGAATGATAATGAGCAAGACTAAATACGGTTCGATGTGACGAATTCAAAAGGAAGTATTAGGCTAAACTAGAAATCTGAAGATTGAGATAAGGATATATATTGGATTCATCTGCTCCATGATAACTGTGTGTATGATTACATACTAATCATTTATCCTAATTATTTTTTTATTATTCATTCCAGTCCCATACTGACTCTCTTAGTTTACCATTCTCGTTATTTGGAGAAAATCGTTTGTCAAGACAGTCGTCATCATCAGCCAAATGGTACTGATAGTACTGATAATAATTATTGGGGCGACAGTAGTTCAAGAGTTGTATATCGACCGTCTGTTTTCAGGTTAAGAAATTGTCTACAGGTATATGCAGATTATCAGTTTGTGCCTTTTTTATCTATTCTTTTGTGTTATTATTATTAATAATTTCATTCTGACCTGTTATTATGAGTTGTAGAGTAGCAGTGTAACAAATGATTTATTCGTTCTTTTCTTCCTCCTTTAAACAGATCTTAGTTTAAATTATCATCAACTAGGATAGTTTGAACATGTGTGATATGCTGACCGAGAATACTCATTGGTAATCAGGTTGAAAGTGTGAAACTTTTTGATAATATAGTATTGTGTATTGGTTAAAATGTAACCTGATCAATAAGTTTTCAAATACTAATAATAGTGATGTGACTCACTGATGAGTTCCTACACCTCTTTATATCTTCAAAATTACCCCATTCACTTTGAAACGACAAAGCGCATTATGAACCTGTAAACAATAAACAGGGTTCTTCAAAGTGCACAATTCGTAATATATGCAACCATCGAACCCCACTGTTTTAAATCCTATATTATATGTGGTTACAGTAATCACTTCCTCTGTTTCTCTTCGCATCTTTGATTAATGATGTATCAAGTAATGGTATGATATATATTGGATATTGTTACCACTTACCAACCTACAGTCTATTCAATACCTTTTAGTTTATAGAACAGGTGGTTTAGAATAATCAGAAGGAGGAAATGCCTTTCAACGAACTAGAACTCGATGGATTTCTGCAGTATCCCATCGAGCTTCGTCACCCAGTACTGAAGTTATACTTTTTACTAAATGACAGCGATCCCTTCGTCAAACTAATTGTTCTGCTTTATGAAATATATTCAGCGTTACAATAGCTATGCTCAGAATGGTACATGTTAAATAATCCATTCAAAGTAAACGTATTTACGATAGGTAACTCGCATAATTTTGGCATGTTCATGTCCGTAGTTTTCATCAAATACAACCAATTAATTGTGTTGATATACCTATAAAAATATGGATAAATGAAACAAAGTGAAGTAGAAAATTACATAAAAATCAATTGGCGGCTGCATATCTTTTCGTGTTTACCCATTAGACTAAGTTGTTCAAACTGTTTTAGTCGGAACACTCAGTTCTACTGGTTTCATTATTTTGGAATTATCGGCCAGATGTTGTTACTAGTATATTTGTGATTATCTAAGGCTGTAGCCATACTGATGATAAGAACGAGGGATTAAATGAAAATAAGGGATTTCTCTAAAATACCAATTCACGAACACCCTAACTATGATTGTTTAATAGGTCATACCATTTCTTATTTTGTAGAGTCAACTTCGTACAACAATTGTATTGACTGTTTTTCTGCTTCAACAAAAAACTTGTATTAATATTAAACAAACTCATATTACCATATGGTTTTTCATAGTATATAAAGGACGAAACGATTTAGGGTTAAATTATGGAATTATATCTATGATTATAATCTGCCATGCGATGCGATTTGGTCATCGTCGCACGTTTCTAACATTCAACCAGTTTCAATTTACGTAAGACAGTTTTGGGTAGGAAGTTATGTTTATCTGATAAACAATACTAACTACTAGGTGAAATCTACAACGCATCGGTGAGAACATTTTCACTCTTTGCTAGTGAAGCCCGGCCTTTGGTGACTCTGTGTATCTGATCATTGTTGTTTCTGAAGGATTGTTGACGTTCAGTGACAACAACATGTTAATCAATGGTGAGGTTCAGTGATGTTTGTTCGGACACATTTACGATAATTGAAATCATTTTACCATCTTGAAAAACTGATGTTATGATAGGCGGTGTCCGAAATTCGATATTGGTACATAATGTGCTACGCGCTAATCCGCCACCTAGCTACTTGAGCGAAAACACAAGAGTGAACGGTGAGCTACCGAATAAAATGCACAAATACTCAATTATATATAAACATTTCTAGTCCCTAGGAAATCAATCCGTCTCTTAGCCAATGATATGTACTTGTCCCGCAGATCACTTCTAATTCCCACCAATTGATCTTCTTATTTGGTTACTTCTGATCAGCTCACCTTTTCAGGTGGCTTATATGGGCAGCTTTTATGTGTATTACGAGTCTCATCCCGGTAAACTCCATCCATTTACGTCAGTATTAATGCATTAAATAATATATGCAGTTAAAATAATCCGGGCGGTGAATATGTAGAAAGTACACTTCACCAAGTAAATGATCCAATTACTCAATATCTCACTGATGCGTGCATCTGAATCACCATACAGTCATGGGGAGTAACAAGTACTGTTTCGGTCCTTAGGTATACCAAGTGAGATATTTTTAGTAAAGACAAAGTAAATCTATCTTCACTATGAATCAGTTTGAGTCATTTCTCTGGAGAACTCAAGGTACGACATCAGAATCGGTGATTGTCCACTACATTTTCCATTTAGTTTCACCAGGCATTATGACTACTTTGGTTGGACGGATAGTCGCTTTTTTAGCTTTTTGTTCGCCTTATTTTACGACTGCATAAAGGATAAAGCGCACTTCTTTACGAATACTTTTCTCCAACTGCACCTCAATAAACTATGGAACGTTAGTCGAGTTTCTTTTTTGGCCTACAAGAAATAATACAACTGATTAATTCGAGAGCCGATTCTCCCTACAACTTTATTATCTATAGGTAAAATGGGATATGGCACAGACTGGTTTAGAAGCGATTAATAAGTCCGCTTATGCAGCTTAAAATAAAACAATGAAGAATTGTTCAGCACCAGATGAATAATCTTTCCAATCTTTTATCTATTCAGAAGAAGTGATTTTGTTTAAGCTTTTAGAAATTATAACGTCTCATTACAGTAAATTATTATACTCTTCAAAGTCTGTTTTGTAGTTATCACAAGTTATCATTAAAGTCAGTGACAGCTTAGAACTTCGTACATACGTACATCAGTTCAAGTTGCTATACCACATTACCACACAGATACAATTGTCGATTCAAATCCCGTGGTGGTAGAGGTATTAAAAGTATAAGCATTAATCGGAAACATTAGGGTTTGAAGATGTTATTCAAGGAATATAATCCAGTGAAATAAATTTGGGAAGAGAAAAAACAAAGGGACATGAAGAATTCAGAAGATTAGAATTTAAGAGAACACAAAGAGTGGATGCACTTGTGCTATTCCAAACGATTTCGAGCCAAGTTATTCAAAGTCTCTAACCATCGGTTGCTATCATCTCGCGGATCCCAACCAGGTAGTCGACGCCTACCAACATGGTTCAGTCCACTTGTCAGTGACTTCATGGATTTGTGCAATGTTTTGGTCTGGCCGCCCCTAGTTTTCTTCCGACCTACTCCTACACCATAAAATATCGCACGTCGGGCACTTGGTAGTTGGGCATACATAACACATATCTCAGCCATCTCAACTGATGACGTTTCACTACTTCATAAGAAGATAAGAAATTTTCAGTTATTTGATTATAGATTTCCTCGTATTATCGGTTATAATTTATATTTAGATATGTGAAGTAAACTGATAAACATATTTCAAGATACTTAAGGCATGAATCCATTAAATATAAACTCAGTGACGGATACAAACAAGAATAATACCAAGCAAACCTTTAAACTGTCAGACCGATCTAAAATATATGCTACTTAACTTATTAAACCATATGATTATCACAAAGTCATAGCTATAAAGATAACAGGAATTTAGGGTTAACAAACTCGATTTAATACAGATTGAAATCAGTTGGTTCAGTGGTCTAAGGTTTAAGCGTTCGTTCATAAGGCTGAAGGACCTGGGTTCAAATCTTGCGAGCGGGATCGTGGATGCGCACTGCTAAGGAGTCCCAAAGTAGGACGAAACGGCCGTCCAGTGCTTCCAGGTTTTCAGTGGTGGTCTAACATCAATCAGTTCATGATCTCAATCAAAAACTTAATAACCTCCACAACCCTTTACTGACAATCGGATATGATTCAAATGAAATTGTTCTTCATTATGTTCCAATTCTCAGAGTCAACTGAGTTCTTCTCTTTACATCTTCAGTTTTTCATATAGATAATTGTTCAACAGATATAATATATTATGAATTGCTCAATTTTTCGATGGTGATTCTTAACTTCATGTTAAAACATTTTCTAATTATCATTTAAGTTTAATTAGACCTCTGGAAATAATTTTTGTCGCTTTCCATAAGTTATTCTCTTCTTGTGAATTTGACCAATATAGCTGTTTACATCATCCTGTTGGCGATGTCTCACAATCATTACGGATTGGCCATGTTTACCTTCTGAGAACATGTTTTTTCCAACGCCATATACATTTGTTCCTTCAAGACAACTCCATGCATCAACTGATCATCCATCATTTCAAACCGTCTACTATACAAGTGACGTAGATTCAAACAATTATTTAATGAATCATCAGTGTTTAGGTGCAACACCTGAACAAATACGTGAAGAAGTTGAACTGTATAGACGTGATTTTAATGCAAGGTTAATGGATATTTTAATTGGTACCTTACATGCAGTTTATTATGGATGCTTTCTACCAATGATATTTGTCCAGGTATGCACATTTCAAACAAAAATATCATTTCTTGAAAATTCTATTTCTCTGTATGTTGTAACTCATAAAAGACATTTCACAAGCGTTTAGTCATAACTTCTAGCATCATAGTGCTGTAAGTTCGATGTTTTATAACCCAACAAACTCTGCGATAACCCTAAGGGTATCACAGATCACAATCCACTCAGGCATTTACCTTACTATGCTACATTTTTTTATCACTCACACTTACTCCAGTTGCAAGAACTTCTCGATCTCAAACACTAGGTCCTGTCAATCTGATAGCGGTGCTCTACATTTTGTTTGCTCAAATACATCCCATACTAACAAGGAATGATTGTCATTTATTTTGGTGGAATATAACGATATCGCCTGTACCACCAAATCATTTCGGTCTGAATTTTGCTTTGTTTCTTTAATTTTGTCGGTCCCAAAGTTAGGAGAATGACTGGATAAGACAATGCGGTTCCTAATCTTACTACTTGTGTGTAACAGTACAGAGAAGTGGTTATATTCCCTTACTCCTCATTGGGCTTATTTTTTAACAGCTTTCGAGATGCTAATAAATTCCATACATACGCTTGTCTATCGAATGATTTATATGTACAGCTTTATCGAACGGATGAATTGCGCTTTTATTTGTCAAGTTACAGATTAGTCGTTGACCTACAGTGCATGTAGAGTTATTCAAGGAAGCCTGAAAACATAATAAATACATACGTAACTCGAACGGAACCCTGTTAGTTTTTAAAGCCAGGCTCACAAATTTGTAAAGACCAGTTTCAAATGCTGGTTTATCTCCAACAGACTAATGTATTATTCCAAGTCGATAGATTATTATTATTATTGTTTTCTGTTATATTACAGAATGAACACTTATATATTGATTATTGGTGGTGCATTCAGCATTGTTTCTTGACTGGCTTAGTAGTCTTTCTGTTACGTTGGCATTATTTTCTACCATGTGATTACATCGATTTGCTGCATCGAATTTCTATGCATCTGGGTAGTTGGGAGAATTCGCTCACACGAAGTGGATATATAAACACTATATCATGGTCAGCGTCTACCGTAAGCTGTTTTTTGTATGTTGATAAATGATTTGCTTATTTTTCTATATTTTCAAATATACAAATGGTTGTTAAAATAGTTTCATAGTAATTGTCGTATGCAAATCTGCATCACTCTAAAAATGTAAGAAAACATAACAATCCATTTCTGTATTGGTTTTTTGGATCTTCCTATTGATCAGTCTCTTATTGGCATATGTGCATCCTGTGCAGATTACCTCGATATTACCTTGAATCAAAAACATTATAAGCAGAGATGGATGGTGGCCAGCAGTAGAATCCAGGACTCGCGTTTCGTTCTATTTGGACTCTTCAGCTGGGTGTATATGCATTCGAGAGTTGATGTTCACTCTGGGACTTGAACCCAGTACCGTTCGCAATGGCGTTTGAAGTGAACAGTACTAGGTTCAAGTCTCGAAGTGAACATCAACTCTGGAATTCAGGTAAATCCATCTGACGAGTCTTAAGTAGGATGAAACGCAAGTCCTGGCTTCCACTACTGGCCACCATCCATCTCTGCTTATAAGAATTTTAACATTTTAAAACTGTTATGATGAAAATAAACAAATGAATTACTGTCATTAGAATCATATAGAACCCGAAACAATCATTTTTTTTCTCAATGGCTTTCTACACACTGGTAAATTTGATGTCGTCTTGAAAATAATCCTGAGACATACTCGTCTACCTTTACATTATACAGCAATCTTAAAATATAGATTCACTTCAGGTCTCTTTTTTCTGGTTTATGTTATCCAATACAAGCATCTAGGTGTAACAGATCTAATGCGTGTCATTCAGTATTTGCACGTAAATAACAATCCATCATTGATTAGCAATTTTGTTCAATGAGAAAAACACTACAATTTTCTATTTCAAAATTGCGTTATAAAAATAAGTTGCGTTAGAGGTGGTAACAACTAATAGTTATTGACATTTAGGGTTGCTATTGCCTCTCCATGACTCAATTAATGACTGTCAGATTACAGAAACCATTAATCTAACTCAATGACCGATATGTATTTTCATTCTTCTTCTTCTTCTTCTTCTTCTTCTTATTATTATTATTATTATTATTATTATTATTATTATTATTATCTGCTTTATTCAATATTATATTTTTGGTACAATAAAGAATTCTCAACGCAAAGTATTTCAACAAGTTTCCGTTTTATCAGAATGGGTTTTGTGGAGAATTTTAGAAATTTCACAGGTTGAAATCATGAGTCAGTTGAAGCTAGACCACCATTGAAAACCTGGAAGCACTGGACGGCCGTTTCGTCCTGGTATGGGACTCCTCAGCAGTGCGCATCCACGATCCCGCACCACGCGGGGCTCTCCACAAAACCCATTCTGATAATAATAATAATCAACTGCTCACTAGTGACTGACTTCAGGAAAAACTCCTGAAGTTCTAGTGAGAAGCCGTTACCAGTGGAGTTCAACCGGTCTGTTATGAGATAACAACTCACTGAAGACAATGGTGTACGGTGGCGCAACTTCGTGGATTGGTTGAAGTTAGACATTAACACCGTTGGATGCCGGCTCAGTGGTCTAGTGGTTAAGTGCTCGCGCGCGAAGCCAGTAGGTCCTGGGTTCGAGCCCCGCGTGGTGCGGGATCGTGGATGCGCACTGCTGAGGAGTCCCATACCAGGACAAAACGGCCGTCCAATGCTTCCAGGTTTTCAAAGGTGGTCTAGCTTCAACTGACTCATGATTTCAACCTGTGAAGTTTCCGTTTCTTTCTTCTTGGTCAGTCCTGGCGATAAATATTGAATGATCGCCAGTTAGATGTTAGCACTTCAGTGAATGAACATCTGAATAATGTGCATTCTTTTCGTTGTATATTGCCAGCAACCACATTATCTCTTATTTTTTTGTAACTTTGACAACGAAAGGTTGTACACTTTTCAGAAACGCAGTAGGATAGGTTATGCGATTAATAAACATAATGATGTATTAAAACAAACAAAAATAGATAACTTGTTGAAATATCTGGATGGCAGGAACAGGTAGCCCAGATGCTCTAAGTTGCCTGTATTTCGTAAAAACATCATATACTATTCAACTGCTCAAATGAGATTAGCAACAGCCGCGTCCAAACTTGAAACCTAATATTTGGAAGTTGTTATATCTGGATTTTCAGGATTCAATACGAGTTCAAAATTATTGCGAAATTGAAAACGATTGAGCTACTCAAAAATAACTTGGTCTATTTCATAAATCGATAACAGCGACTAGCACACAACACTTACCCGATAACACAGCGAGATGATGAATAGCAGGAAAATTTTCTATTCAAAGTAGAACAAATAAAGCAGAATGAAATGGTACAACTCTGTTCATATATAGTAACAAAAACATGACCGTCAGTGATACAGAAATTCAGAGAACTAAGAGTAATGCTGACCAATCAGAAAAAGGTGAAGGTTATTCAGAAAGTTGAATTATAAAAATAACATTTGCAGTTTCCATTTCTAGTAACATTTCATCATTGTTAACAAAATTTGAGTAATCTTGTAATCTCCCTAACAGAAGTCAAATGCGCCACATAGTTAAGCTACGTTAACACCTATTAAAAAGTCCATTCAATGGTTGATTGTTATAATATTTAATGTAGTATTCAACTCATTTATGTTTAACAAAATGACAATATAACTATCGAACAGATATTTATTTTCCTGGATTTTCGTTCTCTGGGTTGGATGGTTTAGCCTAAGAACCTTCATTGTTCTTCTGAACAGCATCATCAAGACAGACTTTAGATAGAAGTGAATTGTCCTATCGACCTCGGTCTTGGTTGTTTATTATTGACCTTTAACCTGTTATTGTCTGCATCTTTATTTTGATTGTATCTCCCTTTGATCTGATTCTTGTTCCTATATTCGTCCACGCACTACAATGATTATGGACAAGAAAGAATATATAAGGAAAGCTGAAGAACTACTTGAGAATAAGAGCTTATATAAATCAATGGATTCAAGTCCATAAGACTCTAAACAAGCTTGTCAATACAGGACAACTGTCGAAACAAAATCAATGGCGAATGAAATCTAGTGGACCAGTACTCCCTCAATCTTATGGTAAGCTGAAACTAAATATACCAAACATCCCACTACGTTCAATTGTATTACTCCAGGCAACCCTTACATACAATTTGTCAAGAGAAATTTCAAGAATATTGAAGCACTCAGTGGATACATCGAACCACTCCACTAAATCTCATACAATTCTTAGATAAGAGTAAAGCGATTCAAATCAACAATGACGAACTAAAAATATCATTCAACGTAACAGCCTTATTCACCTCATTCGAACCAAACTTATCATAGAAAACTATCTATGCTCCTCACTAATAACACAAATCTCCCAAAGTACACGAAACCTTAAAGTCAAAGTCTACTAAAACTCATCGATTTATGCTTAATAACATTTACATTTCAACAATAAAATGTACAAACAGACGAAGGGAACACCAATCGGATCACCAATATCGGGACTTATTGCAGTAGCTGTGATGCTCAGACTGGAAGCCTCGATCTTACCAATGATCAAGCCGAAAATGTGGAATCGTTATGTGGACAACGTATTCATTATCATCAAAACGAACGAGCTGGAAATTACTTACAGTTTGATTAGCAACGTCTTCGATGACATACAATTCATAATCGTACAAGAGTCGAATAATGAACTATCATTGCTGGATGTATTGATCATCAGGGCCGACAATAGGAAACTGGAGACTCAAGTATATCAGAAGTCAACCCACGCAGATCTAGTTCTCAACTACTGTAGCCATAACCCAAGAACTCACAAAATAAATTGCGTGAAAACTTTATTCAAAAGAGCGAAAACACACTGTGAAACACAGCTCAGAGGAACGAAGAAAAGTATCTAATGATTATGTTTCAAAATAACAGCTATCTACGTAGTTTCATCAAGCGATGTCGATACAAACTTACCAACAAAAACAAACTCAAATATAGAAATTAACAAATGGACCATCCTAACATGCATAAAAGATATGTCGGAAACTACAGTGATATTATTAAACCAGTTCAGAACATGTGTAGCACATAAACTAGCAAAACTATTCCAATAAATCTTCCATAAAGCAAAGGATGAAATGACAAAAGAAAATCTGAACATCATCTACAAAATAAACTGTTCCCATTGAGAGAATTTTCTTTGTGCTTCCGGACTCAAGGTTTCCCTAACTTTAAGTGTGCATCGTGTACGGGGTAATGATTTTTGGTTCTTTATTGCAAATCGTTTCAGAAATACATCAACTTTTCTGGCTACGTGATATTGTTCTGTTTCTATATGGATAATCGTATAGTTCTCTCGCATTATAAATTGTCACTATATTGTTTTGCATACTAACAAAGTTTATAAGTAGTACAATTCTATTAACTCAATATTTTCACCGTTGGGTCATGTTACATTTCTAGTTGACTTCAAGTTACAAAATGAGTTGATTTTGCGTACTCATTATTACTTTTTCTCCTATATTATTTTGCTTTTATATCCTGTCGTAGTTTTCTCCCCTTTCGTTAGCATTATCACACGATTTCTGATTCCTGTTTACTACTAGTGAGCATTCGTGTTCGCTTTATTATGTGCAAATATATATGACAGATTCTCTTACCAGGTACTTAGATACAGATAATACATTTTCCTCAGTAATTATTGGTACCAGGTAAACGCAGAACTAGATTAGGTGCGTTAATACATTGGACAGCAACTAATGTGTTGGTTTATCTAAGTTATAGTGCTGATAAAACTCCATCAATGAATGTTTTAACACGATCGCCAAGTCTAATGATTCGGATTTGTACATAGAGATAGGAGGCAACTATCGTAAAATTATACTTTTTAGTGTTCATCACCAAGCTCTGTTTATTAAGTGCATAAAATCAATGGTGGTTAAAATACAACCTCAAGATACGACTAATGTTATAGTGAGACACATCTTTACTAGCGTGCGTATTCAGGTATAAT